TTTTGTAAAGTTAAATTTAATAAATTTGAAATTTTTCAACGAAAAGAACAACATATGATATTTTGTAGTCACAATCACATATATGTTGTTGCTTCTAGAGTCATGGATCCCTATTGTCTGATGATACAATGAATACAGTACATCCACTACTAATGTTATATTGAGGAAAATATTTTAAAATATAACAAATAAAACTTTCATTTTACTTTTTATTATCTCTATAGACGCTTGATAAATAATTTTTTATTTAATTATAATTTATTTACGTCATTTTTAACATCAGACCGTGCAACGCGTTGGTGGCGTACTAGTTTTTATATTATTTTCAAGCATAGTGACAACATGCATTTTAATGTGTACATATGGTTTCTTGATAAGATTTTAGAGAGTACTGGGATTTAAATGTTGGCAATTTCTGGATTTTAGTGGTAATGAGTTGTAGTGCAACGTTCCTCTATTCACGGTGGACAAATGTTAATATGCCCACCGCTTATGTGCCATGCACACATTGGTGATGTATTTTTTTGACCATATTAACATCACCAATGTGTGCATGCCATATAAACGGTGAGCATATTAACATGTGCCCACCGTGAATAGGAGAGCATTACTCATGAGTTGTATTCTGTTGTACTGGTTCACCTCAGTTTGTGAGATTCTCAGCTTATTTATCAAGTGGCTTGTTACATATGTTCATATATTTGTGATAGATAACATTTTATTGAATTATGATTCTTAATATTTATTTTCCATATCAAGACAACTGATTACTTCTTACAACCAATTCTATCACAATTAATTGAATTATGATTCTTAATATTAATTTGTCACATTATGATAACTGATTAGTTACTTCTCACAATCAATGTTTTGTATAACAATCAAGGTTCTAAAATTAGTTCTAAAATTAGGTTCAACGTTCGCCATGCAGCATCCGACGCGGCGACGCCCTGAGGCATGCATTTTAGGTGTTCTCGAATAATTAGACCTCATCTAGGACGCATCTAGCTGTCGACTAACATATTTTTTTTTAATTTATTTTCAAATATAACAACGATTTTTGATTTTCGTAAATGAGATATACAGTAATCATAAAATTAATACAATATGTTATTATTTTTTAACACAATCTTTATTGTTAACCATATTTATTAACATACTTTATATAATATATTTTGTGAATTAAAAATACAATAATAAGGAAGGGACGTTTGGAAGATGATTAATAGTATTAAACCAATCAATAGTATTTAAATTAATTTGTCCATTAGAGTGGTTTAGATTACATGAACAAAATAGTTGCAATTAGACCTGTCCAAAGGTCGGGCCGATTCACGATTCGACCCGGAGGGCCTCAAATGTTGGGCCCAGAACCGGCCTGTCTATATTTAAGGGCCAGTCCCGACTCAGTGGTTCGTTGAACCGCCAGTTTTCTTTTTTTTTTTTTTTT